ACATACTTCAAGCATGTAACCGCCGCACTTCACGTGTATGCCTTTTTGTTACTGGGCTGCAAGCGTTAGGCAAAGGACACCATATTTTTCCTTTTGTTCCATGTTGAAGTTCTGCCCTCTAGTTAACTGTTTTGTTTTTGTACAGTCTGAACTCTTCCAGTTAATTAGGCAAACATCAGAGGATTTAAATTCTTGCATTTCTTTTCTTCAAGATCATGACTAACATTTATAGTGGAACAAAAACCCTATTTATCATGGACGGAATTTATAATGACATCGCATAATTATATTCTGAAAGTATTTAAACGTGAATTTGTTGATTTTTCCTGCGTTGAGAAACGTTTATCTGGAATTTCTTGTCTATGTCTGGGATGATACCATTTTTCAATGATTTATATGCCAATCGATAGAAGGTGGTTGTAACGATTCTTTGTCACTACCTCTCTTTCTAGGATGTACATCTTTCGGTAGGACTACTCTCTTTTGTTTCGTTCTGTTCGTTGTCTGTTTTTGTTCTTTTCTTGCTTTCTTCTTCTACGGTTCTTATCTTTTATGACGCAATAATAAATGTATATATTAGAAATTTTTCGTTTGTTAGAGGTTAGTTTTTTGTAATGAATCGCTTCGTTTTAATTTAATTCGATGAATACATTTAATAAAGAACAATAGAATAATAGACACCGCTTTTATCATGTTTGAGACGTTTCGTGAACTCTGTTCACATCATCAGTCAAGAAAAAGTAATTGTTTCTTTACTTATGATGTGAACAGAGTTCACGTCTCAAACATGATAAGAGCGGTGTCTATTATTCTATTGTTCTTTAGTTTTTTGTAGTTTGTGATAAAGGGTAATCGAATAAAAGTATAATACACTACGTATTTTAACGCACGCATACAATAAGCTCAAGGACTTATAATTGGAGGAAGTATAAGTTCCTCACAGTGGTGAGCTAGTCAAATATGGTTAGAATGAAAAGCTAAAATTTTCTGTGATAATAACAGACTAATAGCACAATAGTACGAAGAAATTTCAGTCCTTTGTTTTTTGTTTCGGCTGAGTTGCAGAATTTTAGTAGTTTTGGCCTCCTAGGGCAAGAAAACAAAAAATACCATAACTTTGAAAGAAATGCCATGAGCTGAAATCTCTTTAGAGTTTTTACTAGCTCATCAACCTCTATCGATTGGCATATAAATCATTGAAATGGATAGTATCATCTCGCAGTGTTCCCTCGTGAGTTAATTTTTCCTTTTTTGTTTTTATTTTCTTATCTATCGAGATATTGCTCTAAATACATGTGGGTGTAGAGCAGACATCGCTCTACAGTCAGGTGCAAGCCCCACGCTTCCATTTACCATCGTTCATTTCTCAATCAAATTGCTTCAGGGGGGTGTTTCACAGACATTCTTAAGTCTTCGACTTAGACTTAAGTCATACTTAAGTCTCCGTATAGTCTTAAGTTAAGCTAGACTTAATTTTGAGTGTTTCACAGAATTTCTTAAGTCATAGACTTAACTTAAGTTAGACTTAAGTCCACGCTTAAGTTAAGAGTAGTCTGTACTTGTCTTAAGTTTGTCTTAACTCTTGCTGCGATTATAATATGATATAAAAATTGAAAGTAAACAAACAACATTTTTTAACTGTTTTTTATTGACACTTGTATTGTGGGAAATAAATAAAAGAAATAATGGCGCTAGTTAATCACTCAATTCATAATCTGATCGGTTGATTGTTGTGCAATGATTCGACAGTTTTTTGTTTCGGCTGAGTTGCAGAATTTTAGTAGTTTTGGCCTCCTAGGGCAAGAAAAAAAAAATATCATAACTTTGAAAGAAATGCCATGAGCTGAAATCTCTTTAGAGTTTTTACTAGCTCATCAACCTCTATCGATTGGCATATAAATCATTGAAATGGATAGTATCATCTCGCTGTGTTCCCTCGTGAGTTAATTTTTCCTTTTTTGTTTTTATTTTCTTATCTATCAAATAATAAAAAATATTTTCTAGCTTTCTTTTTGATAATTTCAATTTTATTTTTAATCTTTAGTACATGAAAAGACCTTAAGGTGTTGGAAGCAGGAAAAGTTGGCAAATCATTGATTAATTAATAGACAGGAAAATAGATACGATAACCATTTAATGGGTTCCAACTATACTGCTGAAGCTGTTCTAAAAAAACGGGTCTAGGACAAACAATGTTGTGAATCACCACCTGTGAGCCAACGTTTTTTGGTGACTTCACTTGTAAATCATATTGGATATGGCACCCCAGCCCGCGCGCAGGTCTCGAAACTCTGAATCGACAGTTCGATTCAGAATATTCTTCTCTTCATATACTGAATAAATCAGCTCCGATTTTTCTAATTTATTTTATAGAGCGCTCGTGTCAACGTACGTTTATTTTATTCGTTTCGTACGCTGACCAATAGAAATCCAAGATGGCTGCCATGCCTAAAATTCTAAGTAGAACGCTTGCTTTTCTAAAAAATAATGGAAAAACACGGAATTTCTTGCATAATTATTGAAAAGAAGTTCTGCTTATAATTATTCCGCCAAATGCGACAGAAATAGACTTGAGCGCGAATCACAAACGTTCGTTTGGCGCCAAATCGCCCGAATTAATTATCTAACTTCTCGTTTAGTACTTCTGATGCATCCTTTTTTTTCGTGGTACGTACTCATTATGAGTTAAACAATTCGCTTTTTTGCATCATGTTCCTGAAGAAAAACCGGGTAAAACATTTTGCAATAACTGAGAAAGTCATATGAAAGATGGTTTCTTGTAAACTTTTGTACTCAGCTTTATCTGCCGTACTTTTGGCTTTTTTTTCTTCATAGCCGAGGATGTTAGGGGTTGTGTGTACTTTATTTTAAAGAGCAAGTCGAGGTGATTTACCAGAGCACATGTTACGACTTTATGTAACTGTGAACCGTTCGTCAAAGTTTCGAACACTTTTTCTGATAATCGAATCGCACACGTAGAACATCGAGAACTACCGGTGTGACCAGGACTTGTTATTTTCCTCCTTCATGGTTTTCAGTCGTAGGTCAACCGATCTTACGGTGTACAATAGGAAGTTTATAAGATGCTGATAAGTTCTTATACGAATCTTATCATCTCTAAATATAGAAATTTTATAAAGTTCTTGTAGAAATCTGCAGGATTTCTCTAGTTATCCTATACAAGATTAAAGCTCTACGATCGAAGCTAAAACATATTAAGTTGAGTTTTATTTGAGTTTTTGAGCGTTTTCGTGTTCAGAATTCGATTTCTGAGATGGGAAAATTTCTATCTTCTCACTTATTCAATTACTGAAAACTTGAAGTTCAATCAGAAGAAATGTTCAAATTGCAGTTTTAACAGATAAGGAGATCAGCAAAAAGAAATATTTATAACTAACTGAAAGACGGAGTCTGTGTTGTTTCTGGTTTGTCTGTAAGATGGCAAGAGTTTTATAGAGAAAAAGTTATATAGTATATGTTTGAAGCTTTGTTGAACGAAATCATCATGGTAAATTTTAAATTGAGAGGTTTAGTGCTTTAAACTCTCCTCTTAGTCAGTCTGGCTATATTCACCAGATAATATTCTGATGAAAATTGTTTTTTATATTCAAAATCTTGACTTTATGAAATAGTTTTATGTCGTGGCTCGAAAAACCTGGTTTTTGTACGAAATATTAGCTCCAAGGCATCAAAACGCAAAAGTTTTAGCTTCAAGAAACCTTCTCCTTCGAAGAGCTCTTCGTGAGAATGTACAACGCTGATTTCATCATGTTTTACCCAGCTTTCTCTTCGGGAACATGATGCAATCAAGATAAATTATTCATCTCAAGTTCAACTAGAAGCTTTTATTTTGAGAACTTTCCACAGTCAGAAATAAAAAAGTACTCAGATTCTAACGCACTTTGAGACACCATTTGATACCTCAAATGGTGAAAAGAAAGGTTTCAAATTTTTGACAATAAAAAGTTGAAAGGATTTGCCTCTTGGCTCTCTCATTAGAATTACCGTACACTAACACAGTAAATTACTTATTTGGCTGCAGTAATTCTATTTTGAGAAAGCCAAAAGAGCGGTTATAAACTGTTTGTATAAACTAAGAAATACTATTCACAGAGAGAGCTGTCTTTTACCTAAAAAGTTTTCCGCTAAATACGAGAGAAACAGGCTTGAGCGCGCACGCTTAATGCGAAATTGGCGCTAAATAGTTCTAATTACTTGTTTCCGCGCTTGCATAATTGTCTTATTAGAAGGTCTTCAAAACATTTTCTGGAATTCATGTTACGCCTGTGTGAAATTCTTTAGTTTGACTTAATGTTTTGATCTTATAGTCACCGCTGATTGTGCATACTCATTATACATATTTCATCTTTTTGCATTATGTTCTCGAAGAAAAAATCGGGTAAAACATCGTACAAAAAGTAGATAATTCAATTCTTCGCAGAGTTATTAGTTTGATTTATTTTATCCAGGAAAAGCGAGCGTCATTAAAGGTCAGCGACCTAGATTAACAATGACTCAAGCCAAACACAAACAAACTAACAAAAGAAAAGATATAATAAAATATATAAATATCAAAAAAGAACTGTAAAGAAGCTCTTCAAAAAAAGGAAAGAGGAGACGATTGGGTTTCTCGCTTCGAGTTCTGCTAAGATCAATACCTTTTCTATTCTGTGATGTAATGTCTTTCTTAAAAACGCGTGTTGTCTAGTCTCGTTCCATTATCTAAATACTACTTGTATCACTATATATATGTATTGCAGAAAATGAAAACCCCATGACCTTCCGGTCCTACAGGGATCACTTGTATCACTCTCTGTCTATATCACACGTGTCTCTATCTAATAACATCTTCTGTCTATAACTCATCACAGACTATAGCTAAAGCCGTCCGAGATTGCTCAGCCATGACAGCAGTTCGTTTTATTAAGGAGGAAGCGGTAACGAAGTACGGAACTCCAAAGTGTATTCTCACAGACAACGGTTCCCACTTTACGGCCAACATGATGCAAGAGCTTTTCAAGCAAATCGGCGTCACTCACATTTATTCGATCCCATACCATCCACAAACCAATGGCCAAATTGAGCGTTTTAATTCAACAATGGATGCCAAAATTGCCACCCTTTGCAACGACAGTAAAACCGACTGGGATGATCAATTACCAGTCGTAATCTTCAGCTATAATACGTCGATACATGCCATCACAAAACAAGTTCCGTTTGAAATGATGTTTGGCCGATCGCCGGTTCTACCATTCGATCATCAGGATCCAAACGTCGTGCTCTCACAAGATCCGGAGTACTTATCAAAACTAAACTTATTTTTATCGTCTTCAACAGCTCAAGCAAGACAAAATATAATCAAAAATCAACAGCAGTATAAAAAGCGTTATGATATTAATCGTTCAAATCCAAAATATGCGATCAACGATCTCGTCCTCGTTAAAACATTAAACCCACGTCACAAATTTGATATTCGTTATGAAGGTCCCTTTAGAATCATCCAACAGTTAGCTTCAAAAACCTTCATCGTCGAACATGTCAAGAAGCTACCATTGCGTCGACAAGTGACGGTCGACGTTCTAATTCCGTTATTTGAAAGAAGAAATTAAGATCCCCGTGAAATCAGCGGATCATCGATGATCAAAAATGTCAAACGGTCCATTTTGATTTAATTAGGCAATTAGTGCTTATGGGAATTGTATAATTTAGTTATGCGAGCCGGGGAATAACTATTTATGATCACTGACTCGATGGGCTATTTTACTGACTCCTTTGGTAACTAACTGATTAGTTAGCCCACTATCTTGTGAATTAGCATTAGAGGTTTAAATGTTTTTGAACCGTCGCATTCTTTCACGATTTTGAATCCTAGGCTCAGAATCGACTGAAGGAAGTGTTTCTTCCGAGGAGTTTTGGCAGAAGTCCCCTATGATCATCTGTAGCACCACAAAATCGGGCTAGATTATGGACTTTAATTATTTTTCGTACAGATACGACTGACTGGCTATTCATTCCTTTTCTTAGAGATTCCATCATCTTTTGTCATATATATAAATTTTACAATCTTTTGTCAGATATACAAGTTTCACTATCCTTTGTCATATATACATAAATTTCATCATCATATATTATATATATATATATAGGATAGTTTACAGTTAGTTTCAGTCGTCGTGTCACATTCGTATATCGTGTTCTTATCGTTGTATTTTTTGTTATCATTTATTCTATTCACATTTTTTTCAATATACATTTAACAGTTTCCAAGAGGTTTCGTCGGATTTTCAAGAGTCAGAAAGCCTACCGTTCACAGTGAGTGACGAAGTTTTTATAACTAAGTGACAATCGCTGAAAATGGCATATTTTTTGTAAAACTGGGTAAAAAAAAACTCAATACATTTTTAAATCTAACTCTAGGAATAAGCAGTAGCACGTGATCTAGTATGGTCGACTCCATGTTCCATCAGCTTGTATGAGTACCACGGATAGATAGTTTCTCGAGCTATTCGATACCAAACCAAAACGTTGGATAAGAAAAATTTTGTCTGCTGCAAGTAGGATTTCTAAGAAGGTAAGGAGTTTTTGTGGTGCGTACTTCCTCGATCATTTTGAAGAAAACTTGGAACACAACTGACTCCTTCACTAAATGCATACAGCGCGACTTAACTCGGATGTTTTTTATGCTCTTTATTCGGAAAACTATGCAAAACATGCCGTTCTTTCAAACTTCGAACCAACAAAGTCAAGGGAATGTTAGTTTTCTTTATTATTTCGTTTCTAGTTGGAAAACATTCTTAAAAAATTGTCTTAACTGTTTCACCTCATAGGTTCAGTTAATTGATAGGAAACGATTCATAAAATACTATTAAGTGATAACTCGAAGTTTGAATTATAGAACACAGAAGAAAATTCAAAGATACAAAAAAAAATATGGTGCCCGAGGGCAGGTTCGAACTGCCGGCTTCTGCATTACTTAACTGTTACTGTTTATAAGTACAGCACTCTAACCAACTGAGTTACACGGGCCCATTGAACCTGTAGATGTTTCGATATATCATTGTTCACATCACACGGTTTGCTGAGTATCTACAAACTCTAATGTTCGAAGACAGGCGTTTTGTGTTGTCTTTCGTACAATTCCAAACATTTTCGACAACATTCAAAAGCTTTTTACCAGTTAAGTGTTTGATTTCATATTGTGTCTGAAGAAGGAAGAAGAGATAAAAATGCTAGAAAAATCCCTAGTTGAAGATCCACCGCTTTGGAACAGTTGATAACCCTTTGTCCTTTTCTAGAAATCTCGATTTTTCGCATTGTACGGTGAGGAGAATGTGAGTCATTTATTCATCCATTCAGAAATATGACTTACTTTCGTATTGAATTTTGTTACTTTTTGTATGAGATGTCGGTTACATAAGTAATTTATTGTGAGATTGTTTTACTATGATATCTCAAGGAGAACAAATCGCTGAGACCCTCAATCAACTGATTGATCCTTAAATCTATCAGAAGACATGGCATTTAAAAAGTTCGTGAAAACTGAACATTTTTCTCATACAATCGGTCAAAGTTCTATAGTCATTTCTCAAATACTTCTGATCATTAGTTAAATTTTATTGGAAATGAAGGAGCAACTGCTAGAGCTAATACACTGGTACATAATCAAATATTAAGGTATGTCATGCTTGCTAACTATAAGGTGTCAGTCGAAGGTGTCAAAGTCATTGGTACATTAGCGCAAAACCGACTTCTTATACGGGGAAGTACGGTCCACGAAAAAGTATCGTACAGAGCTCGGAGACGTCTCATTTTGTTCAGATGTTTGCTCTATAAATTTCTCTGGAGAGAAACCGAATTTATATGCGATTTTGAAGGGTTTTGAAAAAGTAACTAACTTTGAGTTTCTGGCCAAACCCAACACTTTCACGCGTTCTAACGTTTATATTCGTGATCGGCATGGTCCATTACACATGTCTAGATGCTTTTCATCGAAATCAAAAATGAAAAGTTCTTCAGAAATCCTGGAGGGGATCTCAGGCCTCAAAAACTGGACCGAGAGATTTCGTGAAACTAAGTATTTGGAAATGTTCCTGAGCATCTCTGACATGGTTCCAATGCAAAAATTCGAATATTTTGTGGGCCGGGAAAGAGTCTTATCCGCCTCACTCCTTTTGTGTCTCCATAGCTATATGTAACTCGACAAATCACAGGACATAACATGGAGGATCATAAGAAGCAACATACGGCATACTCCATCCACTAAGGAGCACATATCAGATATTAAATTCTTTTGTCAAGAGGCTCACCCTCAGGAGTTCGATGTTTTCGTAGAAACTGCAGTAACTATCTTTCAAAATCCATCTTAGTTTGCCAAAAAGTCAATGTTTTTGGAGATTTTTGAAAAAGATTTCTGAAAGCCCAAAAAATTACCCTTTTCTAAATTTCAAAATTGGGAAAATTGGGTTTACTTATTAGACGGCAATTTATATCCAGCCCATGCATTTCGCATCGAAAAAAGAAGAGAAAAGAGTAATTTTTCGTGTTCAGCTAGCTACGTCTAAAACGTGATAACTTTGACTTAAAATAAGTTTTTACTGCAGCTGAACCTCAAAAAACCTTGAGGAAATCGAGCCTTTTGTCATTCCTGTTGACTTTGAAGGGCTGTAACATAGATATTCGGTATCAGTACTGAATTGTGCGTCGAATGAAGTATAAGAAACTCCATTTGGAATGAAAAACTATTTTTAGTCCAGCAAAAGGTGGAAAACCTTTGAAAATCCGAAGTTTTCGGCATTTTCTCCTTTCCTATGCACTGTGGAATCTTCGTTTATACGTATTGAGATGCAGACTGAAATTCTGCGTCGAATATCGTATAATTCAATGAGTTTTAAAAGTAAAAATTTTCAGGTTTTTTCGAGGTGAGGTGGACGCTTTTGACAAGACACCCTCGAACGTTTTCCATCATTTCATGTTCATGGTAGTACTTTGAGCGTACTTCACGAAACCGCAGAGAGTCCTTCGGTTGCAAAAACCTCTTTGCACAACGGTCGATGACGTTTTCTCTATGTCTAAAGAATACACTATTGCTGGAGAACACTTGATTCAAATAAGCTGGAATTTTGATCGTGGACACTACTCATACCACGATAACTCTGTTAAAAATTTAGCTGCGTTTGATTTGACGGAATTATGCCATAAGCGAAATTTTCGCATGTAAAATCGCTTTTTTTCCGTATTTTACGATCGTTTTTTGCCAGCGCTCTAGCATCGAGGGAAAGCACTTTGGAAAAAAAATGTCAAGAGACAAAAATCTTCAGGTCACATTTCTCTAGCTGATCTGAAAATTTGAGAAAATTTTGTGAAAGTTCATTGCGCAACTTAGTTCATCGCTATCGTGCACAGCCTCATAGAGATAGAAAAGTATTCTCTTCCTCGTCAATAGGAAATGACGAATAAAAGTATGTGGTGGGTGCCTGGTTTTTTCTGATTCTAGCAAAAAGAACGATTATGACCGAAAACAGCTAGAATGCAAGAATCAGAGTTATACCCTTCCTACTTAGATGCGTCATATAGAATAAGATGGGCGCAGCACATATAAGTGCAGACGACTATATATTCTAGTGCAGAATGCTAAAGGAGAGTGATGAAGTATGAATAGAGAAATGAAGAATGAGAGACATAGAAAGTGGCAGAATTGACTGATGCGAAGTGCGTAATGGAATATGGATAGGATTTGACTGGCATAGCGTAAGAAAGATGTGTAGTTTTTCATTCTAAATAGGGTTTCTTATACTTCATTCGACGCACAATTCAGTACTGATACCGAATATCTATGTTACAGCCCTTCAAAGTCAACAGGAATGACAAAAAAACTCGATTTCTTCAAGATTTTTTGAGGTTCAGCTGCAGTAAAAACTTATTTTTTTAGTCAAAGTTATCACTTTTTACACTTCATTTGATGCAAAGTTGATCGCTCAGTACGAATATCGTAGTTTCAGCTCTCTATAGTGAACATAAATCAATGAAAGAAAAACTGCGAACAAACAGAAGAAAAAAATGAAAAAATTCTTTTGGTAACTTGAAGAGATCAGTAAATGTAATCATTCGTAGAAAAAGTCGTTCAAATAGAAAACATTTTCACAATAGCTGCAACGAGTGAGGGTACCGAAAGCGCAGCCCATGTAGGAATTTCCAAAAACTTTTTTCAAATTCTACGCAGAGACCTAAGTGAAGTAATGCAAAGTATGGTTACACGAGCGAAATTAATACAGTTTTTTATGAAAACAAACTTTTGCGCAATTCCGCAAAAGCGAATTTTTCGCGTTGCAACGCAAGAATGCACTTGGTGTGTTTCCAAAGCAGCAATGAGTCATCGTGATGCTTCACCGTTTCTTTTGTGTAATTTTGGAAAAAAAGGTGATTTATTTTTCACAATACTTATACAAAATAGCACCAAAAGAAGTTGCTTCGATCAGGATATCAGGCCTGCAAAACCATCGGTCTGCAAACTGATCGGTTGCGTGTAATAAAGCATGATCGCAGTTGGGAAACTGAATATATTCGATTTTGCAACTGCGATCATGCTGTTTTGCAGACAACCGATCAGTCAAGCATGATATGCTGATCGAAACAACTTCTTTTGGTGCTATTTTGAATAAATATTGTCAGAAATAAATAATCTGTTTTTTGCAAAAATACCCAAAAGAAACGGTGAATCATCTCGATAACTCATCGTTGTTCTAAACACACACCGATTGCATTCTTGCGTTGTAACGTAAAAAATATTTTTGCAAAATACGGCAAAACAACTATAACAACTTTCGGAAAAACAGCTAAAATAGAGGCACTTAATAACTTGCAAGTTTTGTAAGGATTTAAAGAAAAAGAATAGCATTTGACCACTTGATATTAAGCGGTTTATTTTTAGATAGAACATGAACGTGAAAACACCAGAAAAGTCGTTTAAAACACTCTTTATTTTGTGTTTGAATTTGATTTCATTAAAACAGAATAATGAATAACAATCTTTTTTTTCTTTCTTGCAATAATAGGCACATTTAATGACTTTATACGCTTGCATTTAATTCCAAAGCGTTCACGTACACTCTACGATCAGTTACAAAGCGTATATATACGTTTTCTGGCAGATTCCCCTTAGAAACCCAGCTTCGTCATTTTCTAATCATTCTCTGGGTTAGGACACGGCTAGGCGCGAGCTTGCGTTAAACCTTTGATTTTCATTGAACTTTTCTACATTCCATGCTATTTTATGCTGCTATGCTGAAATAACAAGTCATAGAATCAGAAAAAGATAGCAGATGGAAATTTATAAGTTGTCGTACGATAACTTTTGGGGCTAGCGCATCTTAAGCAAGTCCTTGTGGTCTTTGATTTTCTTTAGTCATTGTGCGACAAAAGATAGTTCCTTGCAAAAATCTAGAATAAAAATATCATATTTTTTGCAAAAAGTAACAAAAAGATTATCGACACAATTCTGAGTTAGTTGACCTTTTTGCAAAATTGTGTACGCAAGTCGCTCTTTTCTGCGTTATTTCAATGTTTAACGCAGAAATTCGCTGAAAAATTTCTACATGGGAGGATGGAACAGCACAGTTAGACTGTTTTTACGTGAAACAAAAAGGACCGGTGTCTATCCATCTGCTCCGAAATCAGGCGTAGCGAATAACCGGACGAAGACTGGCGAGGAGACTTGATTGTGGATGAGAAAGTAAAGACGAATGATGTCGTGAGGGTAAGTATTCAACGCACAAAGTTGGACCTTTCTAATTTTTAAGTTCACCAGCTCATAGATGTGACCGATCAAGATTTTTTCAACCTGGCCGGTAACCGGTCGAAAAATTTCTGACCTGGCCGGGCCGACCGGTTGGCCGGTCATGTATTTTCGTTTGGACAATCAAAACATTTTTTGACATCACCCCAAAGTCTGTATCATTAAAATTACAGAAGAAATCTGGGACGCACGGGCACCTACGTTTTGACCCTTAACGTTAAGATGACCCTTGGAAATATTTCGAGGTCAAATAATCTGTACACTTTGATCATTTTCGTAATCGATAAAAACAGATTTTTCATCAAACATTGATATTTTATTAATCTGACCATATTTACTGAAATAGTTATGTAAATCACTTTTTGTTATGCTCGAATTTTCATGCTGATCAGGAATTCGGCCTTGATTTTGAAAAAAAATGGAATTTTCAATTACAAAATGTTAATTTAAAATTTCTGACCTAGAGATTTTCGTAAAATAATTTTAAAAATATACTGTCAAATAGAGAATTCAATTCTCTACAAAATGGCTCGTTTTGTTTTGAGAAATGTTTCTTAGTCGAGGCACCAGGGCTGCTTGCTTCCTCGATCAGTTCATTTTGAAAATCTAAATATGCTGTCCAGAGTTGTTTCTCTTGCAGATTAGCAGTCCACGGATCAGAGTCTGACAGCCAACTCCAAAGGATTTTTGTCTTTTCTAGCGATGATGCCATTTAGAGTGCTCTCCCCATCTTTTTAGCTCTCAATCACATCCTTCTTTCAAAAATAAGTTTCGTTTTAAAAGAATAAATATCTCTCCTGTGAGTATCACTATTCTCTTTGTCAAATAAAGCAGAATAAAATGAAAAGAAAAATTGTTTGAATAGGAAATAGATTTACTTTAGTAAAAGGAAGGACAAAAATGCCACTCTATACAGATACTCAATTAAATAGAAAAACATTTGCAATATTAAATAAGAGATCTTTCCTGTTAATTGAATTTTATCTTAGGTGAAACTGATAGTACAACGAAAACGAATGTCCGGATTGAGGTTTTTTTCTAGAAAACGGTTATATACTTTTCAAAAAACTATATGGAGAAACTAAGGCAAGAAGTGAAATGTACGTCTGACAAAAGGGCTTATAGTTCGATTGGAACTAGAGATTCTGTCTAACATCAAACTTACTTAATTTCGTTATTCTAGGTCTGGTTGTCACAACCGTTGGAAGAAATTTGAACTAGGAAGTTATTCAAGGTTTCCTTTCGTATTGCGAAAGCTTTTCATTTCATCTTACCTTATTTCTATCTTTTGCGCTATTTCTACGACAGACAGTGTAAAATCGGATTAGGACGATAGCCGAAACATTCCGGTATTCAGTTCTGCCCCTTGAACTTTTCAAGACAATCAAGGCCTTATCATGTCCTTCAAGTTGGCGAATCATTGCAACAACAGAATCGTTTGGCCGACAACATGAAGTTATTTCTATCGACAATTATAATGAAACGAAGTTGGAACTATTTATTAAATATGTTAAAATTAGAATTTTTTCAAAAAGTGGATGATACATGGTCAACACATCTTTGTCGTCTCTTGGAAATAAGACAAAATCCACAACAAAATAATTATTTACAACTATGTGATCAATTACAATTTACATTATCCTCTAATGTTGATAAAACGACTATTTTTCCAAAACTACATCAGCCGTACAAAAATTTAAGTCAAATGTTTGATGTGTGCGTGCAAGACAATACTCAGCAACGATGGAATCCTCTAGCAGAATGGATACAAGTACAATTAAATTCAAATCCACCCCTGTTAGAATTAAATGAAATGAAAACGTTATTATTACTAAAAATCTATTACAATTATTATTGTAATAATCAATTAGCATTGTTAAATATGTTACTTGAAACAATTGACAATGCATTACAATTATCGACAGAAGAGATGCGTGTTTTTCATGCAATATTGAAACCTGAGCAATTTATGATTGGTTATAATATAGTCGTGGAAGCAGAAAATTTTTTTCTAAATGAATTATTTCAACTTGATGCTAAATGCAGTGATGAATTATCAATTCGACATTCACTTATTAATTTAATGGCAATGATTTTACTAGGTGGAAAAAATAATTTTCTTTGGTCGTTTGCATTTCAACCATTATCATTAGAAAATATTAAAAAATTCATCAGAAATATTAAATAACACCTATTTGTTCTGCATCATATGGTGCGGTTGGTTCGCTCTGAAGTCATATAATCACCATTGAAAAATCGCTTCCGTTATTCTTCTTAGCTTTCGAACAGAAATAAAGGCTCATTTAACCGACCACGTGGAACAGAAAAATATATCTTATTAAGCGACTATAGCTCTAAAACTACTAATGAGAAACATGCTGTGTGTTCATTGAAACATTTTAGACCTACTATCGGCTTCAACAAGCAGTGCACGTGAATGTTTTTTGAATAAGCTTTTAACGGTAAAAGATAGAGACTTGCGAGTTTCTCTATTTGAAAGAGAAGACTTGGGGCAATCGATCTGTAAAAAGAATTGTCCAGAACTATCACCTACAGGTTGGAGTACTACATGGAAACGTTTACCGGAGACTACCGCTGAAAAACTCACCACTGCAATTTTCACTTAAAAAATTCGAAAAAAATCTGCGTTTCGTCTGATAAAGATGCGTGTTTTTACACTTTCTATGCGAGATCACGAAAGAGGAAATTTTTGAGATATTTTAGAAGAAAAGCGCAAGATTGTTTCGCTTTTCGCTAGATGTACTCAGCTTTTTTAGAGTCTTTCATATTTCTAAAAGTTAAGTTTCATCCAAGTTTTAAGGAAAACTTTTTATTTTTTGCAGATTTTCTCCCTTTGAAGTCTGGAAAATTTGAATGTACAATTCTGGAAGGGTCTATTCTTAAAAGACCTTTTTTAACGTGTAGCTGAAGACTTGCGCTTTTGTATGTCTCAAAAGTAAGGTATTGATTTATTTAGCGAGAGTTAGCATTAAAATAAAAATGCGACTGTACGGCTAATTTCCTGATCTGAAAAGAGTTATTTTTTAGAAATATGAAAGACTCGCTAAGAAAAACTGGGGACTTCTCGCGAGAAACGAAACAATATTGCGCTTTTCTTCTAAAATATCTCAGAAATTTTCTCTTCGTGATCTCGTAGAAAGTGTAAAAACATGCATCTTTATCAAAAAAGTTTGTTTTTCGAGAAAGTTCCAGAAACCTAGTGAGAACCTATATTGGATAAAATAACTCATTTTTACCTGTTTTGACGTAAAACTAGACAATTCATAACTGAGTCAAAACCGATTCAAAGTACTTCAGAATATCAAGATATACTCTATTTTTTCCGCTCAACATCATTCTGTACTTAAGATTAGTAAAAAGTACTCTTTTTGCATACGAAGGTCTAGAAAACCTTTTCAAAAACCAAAGTATTTTCTGTGGGTTTTTAAAGCTTTTATTGAACTCCATGGTATAGTATAGATAAAATAGTGTTTTACTAACCTTAAGTACAGAATGATATTGAGCGGATGAAATAGAGTATCTTGATATTCTGTATTGTACAAAAGTACAATTAATCTTGTATTGTACAAAAGTAGAGTATGGCGAGCTGCGTCGAACGGCGCAAGGACGACGGTTCTAGCTTATACACTTTTTGAGGAAAGCTCAAATTACTGTGTCAAAATTGTCACAGCATCACGATTGGACAAGCCGTAGGGTTGTTTCACGTTATTTTTGAGAAAAAGAAGCGCTCTACGTAAATTTTTGGGCATGTCAGCTATTTTGAATTTTTATTAGTCAGGCTGACCAATAAAAATTCAAAATGCAAAATTATAATTCAAAAATAAAATTTAGGCAAAAACCACGTAGATTATGTCGACGCCAGAAAAGAAGTCAAAGTATAATTATAAGGAACCCGCTGTCGGATTCACCGAAAAATTTTGCACATAGCGCCCAATTTTTACTTAATTTGGTGCAGCGCGGCAAAAGTACATAATTTTCTAATGGGTGTGCAAAACGAATAAAACAGTTGTACGTAGCAACGAGCGCTGTTAAAGTAGGTGCGGGATGATCGAAAAAAAATTGAAAAAGTCGAGAAAATCCTTCAATGTCCTGGGGTTTGAAGGAATTCTAAGCATAATGATAACTGTCGCTTTAAATATCCCTTAGCGGGCTAAATCGTACCCCATCCTTATATGTGTGCGTATTTTCATTCACTGGCGACCTAATGAATGGGAAAAAAACAAATTTCAGTAAATTCGTGAAGTCTTCTCAATGGAGAAATCTAAAGCGAATAAGAAACTCGTTCTGCGTCGCAAGCTTTCTTCCGTATATGTGTCAACTAGCAAACAAAGAATTGGCAACATAATAAGTGAATCACTCCATTTCAGAATCAGAATAAAAAAGGATGCCTCACTTTCATTTTTAAAAGGAAAAGAAAATAAGTCTTCTAGATTTTCATTTTGTTTTTCAATTTCGATGAAAAACTTATCCCATTCTTCATCTACTTTAAATAACGCTTTTGGTTGCTTACAAAATGTATGGTTTTTCAACTGTAATAAAAAACGAAAGTAGTTTTTTAAAAATGATGAAAACTAAGGTAGTTTTTTGGACCTATCAAAAAACTCTTTTTGTTATAAGCTTTATTTTCAAAAAAAGTAAATGATTTTTTTACGGAAAATAAAAAACTACGTCGGCTTTTTATTATCGATAAAAAACTCGTGATAGTTTTTTAATAATCTTTCTTTTTAACCAAAAACCCTCGGCTTATTACTGAATAAAAAACTAGTTTGGATTTTTTAGTTTCAATGAAAAACTGTAAACGGTTTTTTAGCAAGTCTAGAAAACGATTACCAGTTTTTTAATCTACGACCTTTTTTTAGAGTGTACGGCGGCGCCGTACCACCGGGAATTTTTGCCGTGCCATCGAGAAAAAGTATAAAATTGGCAAAAACAGAAAAAAAGAAGATTCCTATCTGATTTTTTGCCTATGAACATCTGGCATCTGTTCTTCAGTTCTTCATCAAGAGTAGATACATGGTGAGAAACGACAGTCTGTGATTGATCAAAAGAGAGAGTAAGAGATCTTGATTAATCACCTGTTTACTTCATCATCCGGGGAACGAAACGAAAGATGAGTGAACAAACAAACACGTCTAGCTGACCTGCTGGATAAAGCAAGGTAAACGTCGCTGACAGAATGGTCTTGAATCTTAATCCGCAGAAACGCGGCACTCTTGACGCGGTTTTTACAGTAAAAAACAGAAACCAGCTGAACCTTTTTAGTTAGAACAACAAAAGGAAAATGTTTCGTCTTCTCTTACGTCAACAACATCTCTGTCGTCCGAAATCTGTCTCTCATCAACGTCTTTATCTACTAAAAACTCCACAGCATCGTCGTCCACTTACAGCAAAGTATCAGACATTAGTCGCTCTAAGGATAATCCTCCTAGTCAACCGAAATTGTCTTTATATCCGAAAAACACTGACGAGAGTAGTTTTCTTTCAAAGTGGTTTTCAAGTTTTCCATGGCTGGAGTATTCAATTGATTGTGATCAAGCATTTTGTTATACCTGTAGACATTTCGGTCTCGGAAACAAACTGATTACTCGAGTAAGAACTGTTTATTTATCACGTAGCAAAAGTTTATTTCCTAGAGGTTGCCATTCTCATAAAAATTGTCTTTTTCTGCAAATCGTTTCTTAAAATAATCAGTCGTTGTTTTTCTCTTTTCATTTTAGTTGCAAAGTAATGTTGTTTTAACTGTTTTCAATTGTTGGAAAGATGCAAATACACAAGGGAGAGAATTGTATAAACATGAGGTATCGAAAGCACATATACAAGCTAGTGTCTCCTATAATGAATATATTCTACGTACAAAATTTCATTCTTCTGTCATAAATGAAATGGACAAAGGAAGAAAACCAGAAAAACAGAGAGAAGCTGACTAAAATTGCAACAACAATATTACTTTGTAGTAGACAAATGACTGGACTAAGAGGACATAATGAAAGCTCACTGTGAGTTACAGCAGAATATAGGTGGTCAACCAAAGCTTGCTTTTCTCTTCTCTAGGTCGACTTTTTAGAAATCCTCCAATATGTAGCACAAACCGACGTTATTGCTAAATCTGTTCTCGAAGATAGTGCCGGTAATGCTACTTATCTTTCTCCATTGATACAGAACGAACTCATTTCTGAAATGGTAGGTCAAATTAAAGTTGATATTTCTGATAAAGTGACTTTTTTCGAGACTGACACAAAATTTTCGTGTTTTTTCTTTTTCTCTTATTTTAAGATGAAAGGAAAGCCATTTGCTCTCATGACTGATGAGACTCTGGATTGTAGTGGACATGTACAACTGAGTGTTAATAACTAAGAATAATTGATGATGAATGTACAACTAATGATTCTTCAGCACAAAATTCAGTTTTCAAGGAATATTTTGAGTAAATGAATAAAAAAGAATGCATGATCCTCTTCTATTGATTCCCTCGTAAGTAATTTTTTGAGTGCCGGAAGTAGAGAGATTTTTTCACATATCCATTCACAGAAAGCAGCTACCGTGAATTGCTTTTAGAGGCAAAAATTGTTTTCTGTGAATGGATATGTGAAAAGATCTTTCTACTTCCGGCACTCAGAATATTACTTACGAGTGAATCAATAGAAGAGGATCATGCATTCTTTTTTATTCATTTATTAGAGATCGATATCGGTTTACTGACGAAACTTTGCGCACTTCTACAGTATATTTAAAGTTATTTATCGACATCATCTAGGTATGTTGTTTATAGCCCTACTCTTATATACATCTCTCTTCCTTACAACAGATTTTGTCAATAGCGACTCGGTTGTATGAAATATATGGAGCATGTAGTGGATTTATTGGATACACAAACATGAAATAACCTGCGATGCAAAAGTAATTGTGGAAATCTCCAGCCATGGTTTTCCACTCAGGAACATTGTACAAAGCGCATTCTTTTTCTGATTGAAAGAGCAAAGCCTGAACTTCAAAAAACATAGAAAACAAGATTTTTGTGATTGGCTTTGAGGAAGAAAAAAGTACGATACTCAATGTCGCTAAAACAGCTCTTGCAACTTCTGTCCTCTTCAAACGTATCTCTCGCATCAAACCTGTTTTTCCCTATACAGAATACGTTTGAAATTATATAATCATAAAAAGTAGAAGTACTTTTATCACTCTTTCAAATAGGGTATGATAAATTAAGCTTTGATTCACTTTTCGACCGGAACTTTACAAAATTTTTTATTAGTTTCAGAAAACATGTAATTAGACTTAATTATTAATTTTCAGATACTGGACAAATTTCGTCCTTTTTCTAAAGCAGATTTTCTGGAACAGCATGCGATTCTCTACAAATTCACATTACTTTAACCTTTACTAACATGTTTAGAGCTCTGAATAACGAATTTTTCTCGATGTCACATCTTTCCCATGCAAAGTAGTGCTTTCCATCAAAATTAAGACTTATAATGCACTTTATTTACCGTTAAAGAATTACTGAGAAACTTTCTAAAGTAGGGAAGTCGATAGAATTTTGCACGGGCTACTTTCTTATCTATTTGGCTTTCAAGAAAACGTTTTCTTCAGACTCTAGTAAAAAAATAAAGAAAAAAAGTATGTTGCAAGAGCTGTTTTTGCGACATTTAGTATCATACTTGTTTCTTCCTCAAAGCCAATCACAAAAATCTTGTTTTCTAGTTTTTTTTGAAGTTCTGGCTTTGCTCTTTCAATCAGAAAAAGAATGAACTTTCTGCGATGTTCCTGAGCGGAGAACCATGGCTGGAGATTTTCACAATTACTTTTGCATCGCAGGTTATTACTCAAAACTCATCTGCAAAGAAAATTTGTCACAACATAGAGGAAAAACACTACAGCCGCAGGATTATAGATTTTCTAATAGATTCCACATTGTCAGATCACATAAAACTAAATATACTTAACGAATAACGCTGATCTCGATTCTCTGACCCTTGGTTAGAACTGAGCTTTCGACAAGTGGTTGTATAGTCGGATGAGTTCAGCGAGAATTATTGCGGAAGTTACGATAAAACAGGGAAGAAAGCAGTTAGAGATCGTTCTATTCAAGTAATATATAAGTCCATCTTTAATTCTTTCCATCTCTGCCTTAACAATATGGTTCAGATAACTTAAACAAAAAGTGGAAGAATAATCCAACAAAGGTCTCTTTTGATTCAGCGTTAACAAGCGTATTTTGTTATTTGCAGAGAACTTGAACAGAAGGAACAGATATTTCAATCAACATGATCACTTGGACCCGAGCAGTGATTTAAACCTGAACCTTGGTATTGCCCTGAAGCTGAGGGGCGAAAGGTTTCCTAAGATGAGAGTCAATGTCCCACAAATGCGCCCTGCAATTCCATCATGCGATGCAAGGGTGAAAGCTCCATGAAATCCCAGTAATATATCCTCTGCCTCCACTCAGGTTTTAACCGTCTCTCCATGACCTGAATCAGCTCAAGTAACCTTCGGTATGCTACTGCAACAGGCATTGAAGGTTTGTACGGAACGCACCACTCTGTATAGGGCGACAACTTAGAGCTCGAAAAGAGCAAGCGGTCACCTTCCGTCCTCGTGGTACCGATTTATCGAAGGTGGTGTGCCAGAATGGATTCACTCATTTTTACAGCAAAAGACGCCTTAAGCTTACTTGCCAATAGGTATTATCCCCACAATTCAAATACATAACATCGATTCATTCTTTAAGGGGAGCTTTGTTTCCAAGGGATCAGGACCTGAGGTGGTATCCGAGTTAGGGTCGAAGAGAGATATTTAATATAATATTATGATCCCTCATTTTGTAACGCTCTCCCTTCGAGAGTAGGAGCGTTACGGTTCAGAAATTGTTCTATAGGACGTTCTCCTCTTTCTGTAAGGTGAGGGATTTTAAAGTTAAAAATAATTCTTTTCGCAAACCCAAAAATTGGTTTTCTTACACACTGGCAACGTTTTAAGAGTACCGCTCCTCTTGGAAACCGGGGAAGCCGATGTCGGATTGGGGTGAAATCTTTACCAGAGATAGAACATCGAAAAAGAAAATCGATGTAATTTTGCCCAGAATTTTCTGACATGTTCTTCTATAGGTTTTCTGGACAACTTCGGTTTTCTTCAGGCCACATTACGACCCCTCGAAAAAATGGTCCGATCGAGCTCAAAATTTTACCACAGATACTTCAGACCCTATCTCAGGTTCGTTTTTGTTCTTTTCAAAAAATATGCTTTCCCTCTCGAGAAAAATGCTGAAAGTCGTGCAAAAAAAAACTGAAAAAAACTGACTTTTTTTTGCGTGACTTTCAGCGTTTTTCGGATATCTCCAGAGGGAAAGCATATTTTTGAAAAGAACAAAAAAGAAAACCTGAGATAGGGTCTGAAGTATCTGTGGTAAAATTTTGAGCTCGATCGGACCATTTTTTCGAGGGGTCGTAATGTGGCCTGATGAAAACCGAAGTTGTCCAGAAAACCTATAGAAGAACATGTCAGAAAATTCTGGGCAAAATTACATCGATTTTCTTTTTCGATGTTCTATCTCTGGTAAAGATTTCACCCCAATCCGACATCAGCTTCCCCGATTTCCAAGAGGGTCAGAAAAGGGGAGGGAGGGTACCTTAAGAAAACATTAAATGATTGCACACACCGGAAACATACTTTTGCATAGTATGAGTAGTAAAATAAGTTGGAGATCTGAAAAGCTCTAAAAGTAACTTCATTAGTGGACATATCAAGGAAAATGTTTTACTTCTCTCTGGCTGAGCATAGTATTTTATATAATATTTTTGAAATTTAATAATGTGTGCATGTTTAAGTGTAAAAGAGCTTGTTTGAAATTCTGAGGGAAACATGTCGATTTTCGTTTTCAATTGCCTTTTTGAAGGAAAAATTGGAAGTTGCTCTGGTGTTTTCTCTGGGTAATGCCACAAAAAGAAAAACGAGGAAAGCTTGAAAAAGTCGAAGGTCTGCCGTACTTTTGGCGGTCACTAGTAAGAAATGATTCGACAGCAAATCTATACCTATATATTTTAGTTTTTTCAATGTTGTCATGGAACATTTGTTAAAGGTTACTATGTCTTTAAAATATTACGCTGCTAGTCACTACATGCAAAACAGAACAATAACAAAATTTTCTTGTAGATTTTTGCATGGCTTCCTCAAAAGTGGATCACTGCTTTGATGGATCTAGTTTGTTGACAAGTTCGCAAAAGAAAAAATTGAACGAATTCTATGGTATAAATGGTCAACGTTGGAAATTGATTTATAAAGCATCGCGTGACAGTTTTGATATGCAAGCATTTCATCGTCATTGTGATGATATCGGTCCAACAATGACCGTTGTCCAATCCAAAGATGGCTATCTGTTTGGTGGATATACAAGTGTACCGTGGGCATCCGCTTTGGGATCACAGAAAAATGATCCAACAGCGTTTCTGTTTACATTGGTTAGCCCAGTAGTTGAAAGTGGAACAAAATTTGCTTGTATAAAAGCTGGAACAAATGCAGTTTTTCATAGCTTTTCATGTGGTCCTGCATTTGGAACAGGGTACGATTTGATCATATCAAATGATAGCGATACAAATATGGATAGTTACTGTAATTTCCCTCATAGTTATGTCGATCATCTCGGGCATGGAACGTTGACATTTACCGGCAGCGTACACTTTAAAACAGCTGACATCGAAGTTTTTACGCAAGCATAGAAAGACATACTGAATGTAATTACTGTTGTTCGTAGTATACACAAGCGATTTGTGCTGTTGTTATAGCGTTTAGATAAAAAATTGAAGAAAGTGGGATTTGATGCGTAATTTTGACAATCATAATGAGCTCTGCTGGCGTTTCTGATAAGAAAAAAAGCCACTCGGAAGGCGACTTTTTGCAAGAGAAGCCATAACTTTTCTGACTTGCTGCGATTTGAAACGATAAAATGGACTTCAAAGATTGTTCTTATAAATAAAAATAAATCCAGCGATCTGTAATTTATGGTTTATTCAAGCTTTCGATAAGAGACACTTATCATCATCAGGAAAAACAGAAAGTGAAAATAAATTTCTATATATATAGTATGATTACTAATTGATAGAACGTCAATAGAAAAAGAACGGGAAAAAGTGAATAATGTGATCACTGATTGATAGACTATCGATAGAAGAAAGAGCTAATCATAATCTTATATAAAGATATTTAATTTAAATTTTACGTCATTTAGAGACTTTCTTGCGTTTGATGTGTAAATAGGCTCTCTTTAATAGTTCTTCTTCTCCAGTTTGTCTCCAGAGCTAGAGTTTCACATCGTGTAAAATAAAATGAATACCTTCCCATGAAATATTTTTTATACTCTAACGCAGGTTAGCACACGTTAAAACAAATAATAATTTAACGCATGCGCACAGGTTAAATGGTCTGGAATGCGTGCAAACGTGTTATCTTCTGAACTTGTATGAGACCAGAAATGTCTCGAAATTAATCCTAACTCGTTAAAAACACAATTTCATT